ATATAATTAGTCACATATTATTAATATATCACAAATTACAAATTTTACACGTCACAAATTATTTTACGGTCATAATTCAAAAATTTTATAGGTCACAATTAATTTATCGGTCACAAATAAAAAATTGAAACGTCATAAATTATTGTACGGTCACAGTTCAAAAATTTTATATGTCACAATTTGATCATCGATCACAAATCAGAAATTTTATAAGTCATAAATTATTTTACGGTCACAATTTAAAAATTTTATAAGTCACAATTTGTTCATCGGTCACAAATTTAAAAAAATTATACGGCACAATTTATTCATCGGTCACAAATCACAAATATTATAAGTCACAACTTAGTAGACAGTCACAAATTATCAAATTATCGATCACAAATTAACAATTTTTTAGGTCACACATTATTTTTTTTGTCACAATTTCTTTTTTATTGGTCACATATTATTTATTTGTCACAGATTAACCAATTTAATGGTCACAAACGACCAAATAATCTGTGATCACCACCAACCACCAACTTGTGATCACTACCTCACCACTCCCTCTAGCAGCACCACTCTCACCGTCACCGCTAGAACCACCATCACCACCACCTCCCGACAGCAACACCACCTTAAACAAATCAACAAAACAATTTGTGACCACCACCTTCGCCAACATCAGCACAACCATCAATGCCGCCTGTACGACCACCACCACCACCACCACCACCGTTTCCTCAAATTCGTTACTGTCAAAACCACCACCTCCACCTCCACCAACAGTAGCACAACCACCAATGCCGCATGTACTACCACCCCCACCATCGTCTCCTCAAATCCATTACCGTCAACACCGCTATCGTCGCGACCACCACCACCGTCTCCTCAAATTCATTACCGTCAATCCATGCGGTAGCAGCGATCTGGCGCTGTGCACGATGGCACTCAGTTCTCCGCCAGATGCCGCTTCAATTGGTAAAGAAGAAGAGAGAGTGAGAAGAGAGAAGATGGTAGAGAAGAGAGAGCGAGGAGAGGAGACCGCCACCACCAACACAAAGTTGGAACATATAAGCCCACTATAAAACCCAACCTTTAAGTCCGATTCTCCTATTTCCCTTTCATCTCAACACGACAAACAACGGTAGCACTCACTCCCCGTATGGCGACGGAGATACCAGCACTAGACGGCCTAAATTCCTTCGACCCACCAACTACGGTGGCGACATTTCCAAATCCACCACCAATCGAACATCCTACCACCACTAACACAACCTCGGTTATCAACATTGCCAATATCAACCCAGGCCCTAGCCTAGCCCGAATCCTCCTAGGCGAGATTGGTGGAGACCCACCTTACGACACCAAGAGAGAGTGAGAAGAGAAGAAGGTAGAGAAGAGAGGAGGCCGAGAGAGAGGAGGAAGAAAATTGGATTGGGATGAAATTGCTTAGGGTTTGGGATGAAATATCTGATTTTGAAAAGTTAAACTTTGTATCTGATTTTTGAAGTTGATTAGGGTTTGGGATGAAATATCTGATTTCTGAAAAGTGAAACTTTGTATCTGAAATTTGAAGTTGAATTTTGAAAATTCTGATTTTGTGTAATTTCCACTTATGGAAATCATATTTTCCCGTATGCATTTTATTTTCTCTAGTGAGTACTGAGAATGACAGATTAACCACTTTGAGTTTAATTCAAGCCGCTCATTATGAATTTTCAGAGTGGTTAGTAAATCACGATTTGTTGCCATTTGTGTCAATTTCCATCAAAAATAAGAAAAAAGAGATCGAAAAATATTTAACTTTGGTCAATAAAATATTGTCATACAAACTTATTGCTAATTATATCGCAGTCCACATCATTTTATTCAAAGTTAGCTCACAACTATTAATTAAAGATACCAAATATTATAACAACATGACAGGAATCCATAAATATATCTAATTCCATCCATAAATTTTTTGTTGACA